AGTTATGTAAATCGATATATAACAAACATGGATAAGTATGGATGGATACTTGTTGTTCGAGGGTCCCGGCCACTGGTCGTGAATTCAGGGGCCATATTTATAACCTAACCTAACCAAACTTCTATATGCGGATTAGGGCCAGAGGTGCCCGGTTCTCCGTTTCCCCAAGATTTCAGCGAGAGCCTAGGCGGTATTCTGTAAGTTAAATTCAATTTGCGTTTCATCTTTTCAGGTGGAAGTTTATCTTTATAGCTATGGATGTTTTATTGTCACCCGACAAAGAAAATAAGGAAGAGGAACTGGCAGTAACTTAAAGTTTAACGCTGCTAATTTACGAAAAAATATGATTGATACAGTCAGTTGTTTTCGATTGTTCACCTATCGAATATGCGATTCATAATCGCAGTTGTGACAATCATAAACAGAAAAATACTAGATTTTTAAGCAATAAATAACAGTTTGAACTACTCTTAAACCCATGAACATCGATGCCCATGACTTGGGTGTCAGAGGGTGGCTGAAGGATAAAGGCGTTTTTGGTTCTGAGAGATATCTAACCATAAACTCCGTGGGTTTATCGGAAAATCTATAATTTCATTTTAATAGTGAACAGTTATTCGTACAGTAATAATTTGAAATAGATACCTAACTTTTATAAAAGTAGTAAAAGTGGAAATTGTTTTATAAAAGTGTGGGGCTTAATATAACTTACGTTTTAAATTCTTGTTGAATATAAAACACCAGGATTTTTGATATGGAGATAAGAAAATAATTGGTTAAAGGGGCCGTCAGATTTAAATGAAGATCAAAAATAAAGAAGCTTAAGACGTAAACTAGGCTGGTCGAGAAGAATTGAAGTAAAGTGGGTCATGAACAAAATTTGATAGTTACTTCAGGAGACAATATTCAGAAAGGAGTGGGCATTTATAAAAAAGCAAAGTAAAAATTGCCGCAAAAAATTTATGGTTATATTTATTTATGATTAAATTGAAACCTTAAGGTTTGAAATATGAATTTGATATGGAATTAAATTTATAATTCAATTTATTATATTAAATAAATGTTAAGAGTAGTAAAAATGCGTCAAAAAGTAAACGCCCCCGGGTGGGCTCGAACCACCAACCTTTCGGTTAACAGCCGAACGCGCTAGCCAATTGCGCCACGGAGGCTACTTGACTGACTAAGCTTACAGGCTCTCCTTCCGATCTATCCAAGGTGAAGGTACTCTTACGAGATTGTGTTCCAAATTGGTTTTACAATTACGTAGTTGTAAACAGGTAAAAATTAATTTTAAAACATACGAATATAATGTTAAGAACACTAAGTGTACATGACTTAGTAGATCTTCGACGTTTTTATACCATTTTGCACTAAACCATTATTACAGAAACGTTGGTTTTATAGCATTACAAGTGTTAATTTTCATGTTAACTAAACTTTTACAAGTATGCCCGATACATACTCGCATAAATCGTTATTGAATTGAATATTTAATTTACTAAAATTTACTTAAAATGATCAAAAATGCTAAACAAATCTTCCTAGCAATTCTCCTAGCATGTTCCTATATTAGCCCTAGATTATTCATGGCCTGAAAAATTCCTTGTCTCATAGGACAGGACCACACGATGGAAAATCCTTGTTGTGTATCGTGTACTTATGTAATGTATGTATTCATTTTTCTTCTAAACAATTAAGTCAATTAAATATGCCAGGAGATCGAAAAAACCCTAGACATTCGTTTCGCAAAACCAATATGGTGTTGTTGTAAGGATTGTAAGTTATAACCTATTTAAAAATTAAATGAACATAGGCCTAGTGGTTAAACTCAGCCTCATACAGAGTGTATGCTGTCAATCCATAGGCCTATATAAATCCCAATCTATAACCACTATTACCATACAACAGGCTACTTACAGTAGGGACAAATCAAAATGGATGAAAATGGAATTTTGACAATATTTGCAACAAGTATTCTTTTAACCCTCACAAAGAGTAACCCAACATTTCTTGCACCCAATTTCTGGATGCCTAAGTTAGTATAAAGTTATTGAATAAAAAATCTACACAAACATATATCGAAATGTCACCGATTTCTTTCTCATTTGGGTTTGAGTGACCGAGACAGAAAACTCCTAAAACTAGTCCCCTGAAAATAATGGTTAAAAGAGAAATTAAACACTTACAGTACTAGGGGAGATGCAAAATTTCAATAGTCAATGACAAAATTCTAATGTTTAATGGATTACTAAATACAATGCAATCAACGGTAAAAAGTGTTCTTGGCTGAGTATAAACATGTTACATCATAACAGCGATTACAGCCCAGATACATTGTTGGTCTCGGAATATATTCCCCATGTGTGGGTATTCACGGATTTTTCAACTTACCTAAATATCAACATACTCGTGCGGTGGACATGACAGTTGGCGAGTTGGTTGTTCTAGGTCATCGGAACCAGAATGATATCTCGGACATTAGCACTATCTTGATCAATGAGCTTAAGTAGACCTATTTAAAACAATAACAATGGTGTCATTGTATCCATAATGTCACTTCCGGTTAAACTATCTGATACAAATTTTTAACAGTTAGGCTAAGCCAACTGAATGCTATTTAAAAAGTTAAAACACGAATTGTATAAAACATTTTAGAATCTTAACCGTTGACAACTGGATGATGAAGTTGACACCCCATTACTGTAAGTTCTGCAAAAACTAGCTGTAGCCCTCTTAATTTCTATTAAATTTTAACATTAGTCGTATCGTCAAAGAATATGCTATTAACGAGAATTTTCTCCCCTTAGTATTAACTAACAAGCCATCCTTGATCAAAAGTGTAATTTTCAAAACCCCTTTTGAAGTGATTTACCCCTCCTAATTACATGTTTTTGCAAACCTCGATAAGAAGTCAACCTTGATAATAAGTCTTATTGAATAATTCCCATGAGAGTCTTGTTAGGTACCGAGGTGATATAACATAACATTAGGACTATGACAATTGATGTGATATAACATAAAATTTTCTATTAAAATGGATGTACTGTAGTAGGTGCCATAGACTAACTAACACAGACTTCTCACCCCATTCAACATTTTGAAACTCGTTTTTCGTGTCTAGCTCATGTTGGTAACATTGATCGCTAGTGGCAACGAAATTTAGTGCATATTATTTTAGGGTTAAAATTACTTGATTTGTGCTTTAGGTACTTTTTGGTTAATAGGGGACGAGTTATTGTTTACCATAAGATCGTTTTATTTGGTTAAACGAGGTTTTAAGCGACTGAAATAACAAGAAACTAATTTTAAACAAAACACGACCCCTGTCCACAGAGTACTAGACGAAACTAGGCACAACAATCAAATTGTCTTCAGCTGATCCACGAAGATTCGAAATCTAACTAAAGGAAGTATGTTTTATCAATGGTGCTGCTGTATTACTGTTGGTAAGCGAGGGAATGCCTACGATACGACAGATGCGTCCTCACCGAAGGGAGAAATACAGCAGCTGTTCATTTCGTTTCTCCCCTGCCCTCACCCCCCCCCCCCCCTTACCTGACCGGACACGGATACATACGGTTCTCACGTTACGTCAGGTGGCTTTTACTTTGCTATTCATTATTGATCCTCATTTTAGATCACCAACTTTAAGATTTGCTTTTGGAGGTAAAAATACAATTTACATTACTTAGCGTCAAATCCAAATTACAGCTGCAGTTTCTTCTACAATAAAAAGTCTCCAATTGTTCGAGTGGGCGGAGATTTCCGCAGGAAGTGACACAATGGTTAGCCTTTTTTATGTCGCGGGTGTTATTGTGCTAGCTATTATAAGAGTATGGAGATTTAGTGAAGGCATAGTATTGCCAATCTTCCAAGGAATAAGATCAGCTGTGGAAGGAACCTTAAAAGTTCTATTTACATAGTTATTAAGTTAAATCCGTAATGTATCCTAAGTTATTTGAGTTTCTACGGTATGAAAGATTGACTCAAAATTAGTTTAGCCTAATTAAAAAATCATCATTGTTACTTTTGACTTCAGCTGAGTTACCTACACTATCAACCCCAAGATGTGACCGTGACACGTCATTATGCATCCCCTATTCCCCTCGGATTCCTTCCCAAGTCTGAGACAAGGATTGAGCCACAAAAAGCAACAAAAGCGAAGGTCGGCCAGAGCTGGGAGTCATCGTACTCCCCACAGGTCTTCAAGGCCACCTGGTCCGTGTGGGTCTTCACCACACAGGGAGGACTGTGACTATAGTTGGATTCTTTTTACAACGTTGTCAAACCGTTTAAAGCACTGTATAAATACGGAGACAAAGGTACAGTCTTCTAACATAACACGCCAAAGAACTGATGCAGCAAGTTACGTAGCCTTCTGCTCATGCTCAAACTCGAATGTTGGATAGGAATGAACTAAATACTAAATGATGTAGGTAGAGTGGTTGTGTTATTTGTTTATGAACTAGACTAACTGTTAAACATACCGGAATCGCAATAAAAAAGTAGTGGTAGTGACCCTAACTAAGATAAAACTACCAATTCCCCAAAGCATCAACTCTATCTTCTTCGAGTCTTAACTCTTTGAGGGGCTGTTTTACCTCAAACTCTAACCAACCTATAGTCTCTACGATTAGGTTTTGGCTTTGATAATGATGAGATGAACTGATGAACTACGATTTCGATGCTAGAATCTAATAAAAGCAACACCTCGAAAACAATACCGGTATAAGTAAATCGTTCAATGATGTACAACCATTAGACTGACGTAGTATAGCCCTGGTATTTCGAGGTATTTTTAAAGCCGAAAGCGTAGTAAAACAAAAATAATAATGCCCAGATTCACTTTGCGAATTATTTAAGACCTCAGTTCCGTCAAGGTTAAACAAAATATAACAAGGTAACTTGAGATTATATGTTTACTAACGTAGTAGTTGGAAAGCTTATTTATTAAGTTAAGTCATTTCTTTCTGTAATCACCCTAAAGTTAACTTACCTACCTTAGAATGTCGGCAGCTGGCATGTCGTTTGAACGAAGTACTCCTTGATCTATCCAAAGGCTCGTGCGTCGATTGAGTTCCTCCCATTGCACAGAAGTATCACAAATTTAACTAATAATCACTGATTCGTAATTTATAATACCTATCAACCCCTTCCTGAAATAAATGATTAGCTAGATTTTTGCCTGCATTTCCCCAATGGAGTATACAAAGGATTATTGAAAGTTTTGGTGGGCACGATTGAAGAAAACTTACGAAAGCTATAAAAATAAAGTAAGTTAGGCTTAAAATGTGATAAGGTAATTTAAAAAACTGTGCAAAGTATCCAATAGGTACTAATGTCTCGTTAACATTATCATGCAATAAGAAACAACGTAAGGTAATTAAACTTGAAATGAGTTTTGTAAAACAAGTTAACTGATAATTTTGTAAAATAACTTTAAAAAATAGGTAAATTAGAATAGGTTACGCTACAACAAAGCTACAACGTTAGGTACTAGAATCAACGAAGCAACGTAAACAAAAACATGATGTTTACAAACAAACTTTGGCCGAGACCTTTGTGGAAAAGCCTGACAAAACTTGTAATTGTAACTTCACCAAATCGCATAAATAGCACAGTATCTGCTGATTGAACCAATTTAAAACATATTCAACGCCTTCAAAATCAATACTGTTGCATAATCCACCTAAACGTCAGCACAGGTAAAAGGTATACTTCCACAAGGGGAAAGGTAGGCAAACCATAACCTAGAAACCAACTCAGATACCTTGGAATACAGCACAGCACTAAACTTAACACAAAACCGGAAGAATTTAACGCGAAAACGACACAAATAGACACGAAACTCGCGAAATCAACGGCTAAGGGACAGCTAAGCGCCAAAAAGCCGTTACACTATTGTCAACTGTCCGCCATGTGTAGAACTCGCCAACTCGGCAACTCGACTGAACTGAACGGAACGGAACGAAACGAAGTGAAGCCGAAGCCGTACGGTACGAGTGGCTGGAGTGAGTGGAGGGGGAACGACACACCTTGACTACGACATTCCACTTAGTCCAGTAAAATAAGACATTTTGGTATGCAAAAGGTCGGGTAGTTCTGATTTTTGGATATGTTGTTAGTATTGGGCCCATAACATAAAATCCAAGTTATCCACCACGAGATGCTGCCGCTCGCCACGGGGCGCGCCACTTGTTATCGAAATATCAAGAATATGGCAATTCCTATTGTTTTTCACTCAATCTCGCGAACCGCACACTTTACCCAAAATTTTATATTATTACATTAAAGAAGAATAAATTTGTGACAGTTTAAGCCCAACAGCAAGTATGTAGCGTAAATAATGGTCAAAATACAGACCATCAAAATAAATAAATTTTCCAAAGACCGATAAAAATTGTGGTTTTTTCAATATTTCCACAATATAGTTGTTTGAAGCAAACACCGTATTGATTTAGAGAGTATGCCAGTTTATTTGCTATTAATAGAAAATAAATGAAAACATGAATAAAAATACCCCCACCTCAGCAAACCTGCAGACTAAGCGAATTTCCATTTGCTTGATTTGATTTTCACAAACCTATTTAAATAACATTAGGTTTAACTGGTGCCTAGATTTGCTGCTACAGGGAGGGTAATATAGTATATAAAATAATAATAGTATGATAAGAAACAAATAAATTTACCCAATTTTATAAAAATGTGTCTATAAATAAGGAAAAAAACAATAATTAAAAAATCTTCGCTATTAGAATAACTTGAGGTTTTTAATTAAAATTTTTTTAATTTTCTCCGTAACCAATAACTGTAAAAAAAACATTTTAATGTACTAAATTATTTGTTTTTAAGTTCTACAAAATGGTCTAGAGATATAATGTAAAATTGTATGTTTTAAGGGTCAAAAATACGAAAAACCCGTTCTTAACTAAAAACCCCCATAAAGCAACCGTTCCCATGACCTGATCAAATCAAATCAAAATCTGTTTTATTTCCAAAGATTTTTTTTATATATACATATACAAAATACGAACAATAGTCCCGCATTGGCCGTAAAAGACCTGTGCGCAGGACGAGCTCTATTACAAATCAAATTAGAAATATTCTTAAAAATTAAAATTAATTAATCAAAATACTATTTACAACTAAGCTATGAGACAGCTACAGGAACAGTTAATGCTAAGTAAAAGGTAGTCGAGTGAATGGAGTTGCAGTTACTAATATCTGTACGCTAAATATTGTTTGGTGTACTTGTGTATTTATTATTATGTATTGTGTACTGAACTAATAAGTGTCTCAGACTGATCGAGACCAATCTCCGACAGCCAACTGCTTACCGAACGTTTATAAACTGGAAGAGAAACCTGTAGATCTATAATCTCTGATGGTATATTCCTATACAAAAAATTCGCAATATAAAAAGCATTGATAAGGTTTGCAGACTTGAAAACTCGGGGTACCTGCATACCTACATTTACAGCTTTTGTGGTGGGATAGTTATGTGTGATTGGCGTCACTATCGAATCTTGATTGGAGTAGGTATATACAAGTAAAGTTTTGATAAAAAGTTGACGCACCGAAAGTAATTGAGTGTTTTTGAATAATAAATTTGTAGGGAATCGCCTGTTGAATTAAAAAGCTATTTTAATAATTAGTTTTTGTATGACAAACAGTGGCTTTAAAATATTGCTACTACCTCCTCCCCATACTATAATTCCATATTGAAGTACCGATTGGACAAATGCATAGTATAACATTTTTATTTCATTAATGTTAGGAATTTCGCGTACGTTTCTAAAAACATAAATTAATTTCCTAAGTTTTGTCTTATACTTCAATGATCATGCTTCGCTAACTCGTTTTGATAAATGTAGGTTTACATGCCGAAAAACAGACCTTCAAAATATACCTTCAACGGCAAAACTACTCTTCCCAAAGCTGTCAAATGTTTATACATAAACATTTAAGCTAAGCTTTGGGTACAATACTTTCACATGAAAACAAAATAAAACAGTTTAACATAGTTAACAGTTTATTGAGGCTGAAAGATCAGGCAAATAAGATCTTCCAATTACAATCACTCTACAGATCTTCCATGCAGCGGGTAATTTTTCCACGCCAAGTGCGTCCATCTATACAGGACATGCTGAATATGAATAGAAATACAGGATTGATATTGAAGAACAAAAAAAAAATCATAAAGATCGGAAATTTCACTACAAGACGTACATACAAGTTCTGGTGTGGAATTTGGTTTGTTTAGGCCATCGAACAGGCCCTCATAAAGACAATGAAAAGCTCTGGTGGATTGACTCGGGGACGAGGGATAACAGACAAAAGGTTGTAACTTATGGGCGCTTGGGATGATCCGTCCTCATCAAATCTGTAGGAAGTTGAGAAATATTATAAAAAATGACGTCAGTTGAACATTAACAGTGAGCAACATGTTGACGTGAGCCATTCTCCCATTGCTCGAGACAACGAAATTGATGAAAATATTCAATAGTGGTTTCCTCAACACACACCATTCAATATAAATGATATGCTGATTATTAGCAAATTTCCCTTATAGGGAATACGCTATTACAGTAGGTCTCATGGTAATACCTAGACCCGGGACCGATTTACTTTTTCATTTTGGTATTCTAAGAGGCCAAAAATACTGTTGGTTCAAATTGTTATAACATATATAAATATATATATATATACCGGGTGTCCGAAAAATACTCCATAGTTTTAAACATACCTCACGATAATATTGTTCAAATGGATGAGTAATAATCATTTCGTGCTGTGTAGAGTATACTTCAAAGTTTTAGTTTCGTACGTTGGCAATAAGTTGCGTACACCTATTTGACCTTGAACATAGTTTTGGTAATAAATTATAATACAAAAAATAAAATATTAATAAAAAAATGAGTAAAAATAGCTTGCATGTCTGCAGGGCTACAAATGGTTCGCATATTGAGGTGTGATAGTGTTAAAATAACTTTTATTTTATTACCTTTCATTTAATGTATCAGCATTGCCTTCTCTATGGTATCAGTCGTCGAACAGTAGTTTGTATCTAGTACAATAAATAAATACATTTTCAAACTAGGTAAGTTTTTTGGAGACCCTGTATCAAAAAAGAAAACTAAAGATTTTACTAAACTGTATCCAAAAAAGTTACTATCATCCGTTAACACGATGATTCCCAAACATCATCCGATTTAGTGGAATTTGGTACAAACATTACTTTTATTTGTGAATCAAGAGATGGACTATTTATCATTTACTTTGTATTGTAAGTGACTTAGCCTATTGCTTTTGCTTAATGGCCTATATAAATCATTGAATCATGCACACGCACATTTATTTATTAAAACGAGTTCGCAAAGCATGATCGGCATGATAAGGCCATAGGAACGGTTGCTTTATAGGCATTTTGCCGGTAAGAATATTTTTTTAAATTTTTAACCCTCAAAACATACAATTTTACAATTGTATCATTAAAGAATTTTGTAGAGCTTAAAAACAAATAATTTAGTACATTAACATGTTTTTTACAGTTATTGGTTACGGAGAAAATTAAAAAAATGTAAATTAAAAAACCTCAAGTTATTCCAATAGCGAAGATTTTTAATTATTGTTATTTTCCTTATTTATAGACACATTTTTATAAAATTGGGTAAATTTATTTGTTTCTTATCATACTATTATTATTTTATATACTTTACCCTCCCAATAGCAGCAAACCTAGGCACCAGTTAAACCTAATGTTATTTAAATAGGTTTGTGAAAATCAAATCAAGCAAATGGAAATTCGCTTAGTCTGCAGGTTTGCTGAGGTGGGGGTAATTTTAATCTTGCTTTCATATATTTTCTATTAATAGCAAATAAACTGGCATACTCTCTAAATCAATACGGTGTTTGCTTCAAACAACTATATTGTGGAAATATTAAAAAAACCACAATTTTTATCGGTCTTTGGAAAATTTATTTATTTTGATGGTCTGTATTTTGACCATTATTTACGCTATATACTTGCTGTTGGGCTTAAACTGTCAAAAATGTATTCTTCTTTAATGTAATAATATAAAATGTTGGGTAAAATGAGCGGTTCGCGATATTGAGAGAAAAACAATAGGAATTGCCATATTCTTGATACTTCGATAACAAGTGGCGCGCCCCGTGGCGAGCGGCAGCATCTCGAGGTGGATAACTTGGATTTTATGTTATGGGCCCAATACTAACAACATATCCAAAAATCAGAACTACCCGACCTTTTGCACAGCAACCCCATATTTTATGACAGATTTACTGGACTAACTGGCGTATCAGAGAATCCAATGCCGCGAGGGCGACTTGTCACCTGGTAAAAATACAGCTGACTTGAGTCTTTGACAGGAAGCGGTATAAGGTCCAGGGAATTTTTGCTCTAATCCTTTCATGGAATTTACCGAGAGGAGAAGACGTCATTGCGATACTGAAAAAGCTTGAATGTTTACTGTTAGGCCTACGTTGTTTTTAGTCGTTCCGAGCATCATTACAGCTGATTTTCTTGATTATGTTCCTTACAATTTTTTTTAGGAAAAACCTTTATATGAGAAAATAATTGGTTCATGACTCAAGTCTTCGTGCAGAGGAACGGGTTCAATCCCAATACTGTAAAATCCAACAGAATTTAGACTACTTTTTCTTAAAAGCATCTTAAACGTATTCTGCTACAAAGATCCAAAGTATTGAAACTAAATAAATACTATTTGTTAATAAGTATTATTGTACTATTCCATCAGTAACTTATGGACAATGAATACAGATAACCTTATGGCGGTATTCATTGGCATGGAACAATTACAAAATGGTATTTTCAGGGGGATTACTTTTAGGGAATTCACTGGGAGTTTGAAACTATTAAAGTGACAACATTGTTGTGTGAACAAATTACTTTT